ACATATACGTGAGCGTATCCCCTTTGCAAATTCTGATGTAAAAATGATAAAAACAGACATGCACGATGCGTGACGAATACATTCAATCTGTTTGACTTCTCGTTTACTAAGCTTAGCGACAAACTAGCTAGCGACAAACACGGTAGTTGTAAAATCTGTTGTGCTCACAAATTTCTGATCGGTTCCCATCGTAGACCTTGGCTGGGTTTCTGTATCGCTTACCAATAGTTTTCGGCGTCATTATGTATCGTTGCGCAGCTTTTTTACCATACAAAATATCTGCGCAATATGACATACCGACAACTATCGGTAAGCGATACAGAATTACACCCCTGGTTAATCAATTACTTCAAAAAATTTCTCGCTATTTATTAACTGATTAGCTGTCACGAGGAAGAGCCAATCTTAGGGAAAATAAATGTGCGAAATATATCTTCGAGTTTCATCTCGCCAGTTTCATTTATCACAGTTTAATCCCACAAGTAATAAATAAAAGTACGTAGCAGTACGTAAAAGTTCAGCATTACTTCCCTCGGCTATGCTGTTAAATTCATGTCAAATTATAACTAATTTGAGTTATTTTTAGTTATTTCTATAAGTCGTAATTACCCTCCCATTGAGGGGCAATGACGATTTATAGAAATATAACTTTACTTTCCGTAAGATTGGTTTTTCTTAGTGATAACTAATTAGTTAATAAATAGAAATTCTTTGAAATAATTGATTAACCAGGGCGTCTATTCTACAACTTGTTAAGACAGTAATGAGTACTAATCCCTGTATTCTGTAACTTGTTATGCAGTCATTATGAGTTTATAACAATTGCGCTGCTTTTTTACTATACAAAGTATCTGCGCAACTATTATTATGAGCACATAATGGTTGCATAACGAATACACAATACAGGGGCAGAGATGCTATTCTGTATCTGATAGTTGTCAATATCGTTATGTGTCATAAATTTAACTAAAACAATGGAGTTAAACAATTTGGCTCAAGAAAATGTATTAAATTTGATTCAAATTTAGTTCGTTATTTATTAAATTACATACATTAAATTGCGGACATTGTTACTTTGAAACTACAAAAATGGATTGATTTACATATTGATACACATAAAAGTTAAAAATAATCAAATGTTACCAGGGAATGGAAGTAACTCGTTACTTGTAACAAAGTTATAGTTATTTTTTTGATAATTTTATTGGTAACTGCGTTACTTTTTTTTTGGTAACTGTAATAGTAACGTAGTTACATTTTTTTTGTTACAGTTACTTTTATCGTTACTTTGATTGAACATAAGCCACTCATAGTGTTTGAAACTAAAAAAACATTCGTCCGCTGTGATTGGTGGTCGTCGATTTTTAAAAAATAAAAAAAAGAAACGAAAAATTACTTTCTCAAGCAACGGTAACCGTAACGAGTTACGTTTAAAAATCAGTACTAGTAACTATAACTTGTTACTTTTAAAAAGTAACTTTCCATTTCTTGAACATTATTTAACTCAAGAGATTGATTTATCTTTGATATCTAACCGTACAGCTTTAATGTTGAAAAGATTAAGTTACTAAATTATGATAAATGCAATGAGCGGACATCTTTATCGTTACAAGTTAACTGTTAGTTAACCAACTGTCTAAATTTGCTAGGTGCATTTACCATTTCCGTTGGCGAGGTCGTTAGCGCCATTGGATTTGCATACCCGATCATTAGCCACCCTGTGCACACAGTAATCGTGTTTCGTTTAATTAAAAGCTAATTTGCTTAAAATATTACCGCTCGGTTGAATTTATTTGCATAGAGTTTTATTTAATGATGTAGGTACATCCTGGAACGATTCATCCTTGATAAATTCGATTACTACGACGTTATAGAAAAACGCGGAACTAAAGCTAGGCTATACGTAGAATTGAAAGCTGATGACACTTCATATTGATCTCAAGGAATATACTTCTCACGCTTGTTTTAGATATGACGCAAATCGCGATGGCAAGTTAGATGAAATAAAGGGCTGCGCCGCGCTAAATCTTTATTTTGATAATCAACAATGGAATCGACTTATTAAAAAATCGAAGGAAGTAAATAACAACGTCACTTGATACTATCGGTGTATCGCAAACATCATCTCACATTTAACAATAGTCAAAATGATAAAGCGTAATCTACAATGTACTTTTTGCTTCCTGTTTCTTGCTTGTTACTGCTTTTCTATCTTTTTCTCTCTTTGCGACCGTTTTATCGACAATCATATTCCTTACCATATATTTCTTGTCTACTGCTCTAAGATTCTGTATAATTTTAACAATGTCGCGCTATTATTATGTTGTCGTTGCGCAACTTTTTATCGCATATAATATCTGTATAACGATAATATCTGCATAATGATAATATTGTATAACGTCACTATTGTTAAGAGTTACAAAATCTCAGTGTTGAGATTCATAAATTTTTATATCGGATGATAAAAAATAAAGAAATAGAATAGGACACAAAAAAGCAAGAGGTTAAAGGGGATAAAAAGCAAGAAACAGAAAGCAAAGAGCATATTTAGATTAAATTTACTTATCATATTTTCGCACATCGACGATCGGCGGCAAGTATATTCACGGCGCCTCGAAGGGCCAAGGTTCTCATAAACTTCGCGCGGTTCAAGGACGCGTATCTTTCAAGGGATCGGTCAATATTTCAGCAACGTCGTTTCGCGCAGTTTCTCATCTTGCAAAATTGAAAGATCTTTTTCCTCCGCGGCTCTCGGCGGCAACCTATCGATGCTTGAAGGAGACGGATTGGATGACCCGCCGAATATTCTCGCTCCGTCATGTCCTCCTCGAATACTCTCTTCCCGTTAATCACGGAGTATATCATCGCGTGAAACCGATCGAAACTCTTGCTTTCACTCGTCCAATTTTGCGGTTTCTGCCATCTATACTTTACAGCCGGCTTATGCCTACTGGCATTCGTCGCTTGCAGCGTAATCCGATATCTCAAAAGATTTTTGAAATGAGGCAAGTTTTGAAACTTTGGCCGATGCTTTTTTTACCTTTTAACCTTTATATATTCTGGCGACTTATTAAGGATTTTTTTAATGTTTCGTGATGGCTTATATAAGATAGATAGATAAGAGTTTTAACGATAATCGCGCGAGCTAGACGCCCCTTTTTTTATCTTTATATATTCTATATGACTTCTTTTCTTATGTTACGTTATCATGCTATTATCCTTAAGAGGCTTCATATGGTTTCCACAAAGTTATTTTTTACGCCTGCATTAAGCCCGTATTACACTACGGATTGAAGATTAAGGATTATGAATTAGAGATTAGAATTCGATCAGTCAAATAATTTAAGTATTTCAGAATGAATTTATATATATATGAATTTTGGAACATATATCGACTATAATGTGACACGGGATTTACGTAGCTCTTTCGCTGAAACGTATTTTTTCATCATCGAGGAAATCATACTCACCTGTAGCACAAACCTTCAAAGAATGTTTTAAAGATATCCAGAGAACATTCTTTGAGGTATCGTTTTATCCTTCTTTATTATTTGGTGAACGACAAGGACAAATGACGCATCATGTGCTTTATGCGTAACTCGGAACGCACCCTATGTCTTATAATAAGGACGTTCCCAGAACATCCCTCGGATAAAATGTGTTCTGTAGGCAGAAATAAAAACAGCTATATCAATCGAAAGTCAAGTTGAATTAAACAATGGACACATCGTAGCGTTAGCTGAGATCGCTGGACTCGAAGGTTTGACGATGATTCTCGTTTTAACGAGCGACGATAAGTGAATATTACATAAAAGAAGCCGCACTCGCTACACGCATCCGATAAAACGAACAGTCATTCATTCGGAATTGCGCCAATTATTAAACTTCATTAAGAGTTCTATTAACTTAGGCGCGAATCATTACGTCTTCCACGCTTTATTATCCCGGTCTGCCGCAATTAGCGGGCCCAGCCGTGCTTCGCGAATGAGCTTTCGGATAGCAGCATGGTCATGGTGCATTTGTAATCAGCTCGCGCGATCGCAGAGAAGGAAGCGATGCGCGTATCGCCAGACATAACACATTTTATATGATGTATTTGAATGCTTATAAACACCGTGTGCCTGTGTGTGCTCGCGAGAAAGCCCACACACTCGCCCACTGAAGCGAATTATCTTCCAACAGATTAGCATACGTGCAGTACCGTTATTGACCGATCGCCCGATCTAATTTAATCAGCTGAAAAATATCTTATTTCGGTGCCACATGCAGGACTTTAATACATGCTACTACTGAAAAAAAAAAAGAGTTTATATTTAACGAATTCGGAGTGTGCACTTAATGCTGTTCGTTAATTCTTCATTATAATTCTAACTTCAACGCTCAGGGGCGGGACCACAGAGTTTTGCATAATGCATAACGGATAATGTAGAAGAAAAATGAACCAATCAAGGTCCTTCGTTTCCTTTCTTTCCATGAAATCAGAAATTCTGATTAGTTAATGTTATCTGCCTTATACGTTGTGCAAGCGAGAAAATTCTTTTTATAACAATAATAATAACTGTTGCATGCATTTACAAATTAGATTTGAGCGATGCATGAAATTATTCAGATAATAATAATAATAATACAAATCGCGTGGCTAGCGAATGCCGAGGCGATAGCGATACAAGATCTAATCAGAGAAATTCAAAGTATGAACAGATTAGGTAAGGACATACGCAACAAATTTATGAAAAATAAGAGAAAATATACTTTTCTATCATGATGTTTAATATCGAGTATATATGTAGCGATTAAATTGTTATTTTGTATATTTAAATGTTTTAAAGTGTCATTATATTAGGCAATCAAATAAAGCGATAAGCGGGGCAATCCCGATGATCCCGAGTCGGAGGTCCAGAAGATAGATAACGTCTTACAATAGGATCCCACCCGGTACACGCGATAGCGAAGTGTATAAAGTACGCGACGCGCCTTCCCTCGCACGCAGACGTGGAAATCCGTGGTGGCTACATTCGTCGACCTCCAGGGAGAGTCGCGCCTCCGCGTGCAGACCAATCGTGACGGTCCTTTCACCGATCGGAATTCGAAGCTCGTGATAAAAAGGCCGATTACCGGTATCCTATTCCCTTTCGAGTGGCTGGAACTGGCGGACGAAAGCCGCTGACAACGTGCACGAGCCAGATTGGTCGGATCGCGACCTCGTCGAAGGCCCACCTTGCTCCTTTCGTCACGGAGACCTCATCGAAGGACCGGATGTGCGTTGTTCGAGTCGCGAGAATCGCCCCGCAGATCGTCATTCACTTGTGAATCTCTCGCGACAGCCCGGTGAACATTACGCGCAGTTCAACTCGTGATTAGCACACTGTCACGCCGATAAGAGTACTCCGCATGAAATATGTTGACGTGTTACATGACCGCGCTGCAATGCGAGTGGATCGAGAATCGCAAACGGTGGAATTCCACCGGTGCGCCGCAATCACAATTGAGGTCGGTTAAAATTGTAAATCGCGTGTGTCGGTGGCGAGAGACATATCACGCGAGAGGTAATAAATTAATAACGACGCTTCTATTTGCAGGAACAACGTTAACGTCGAAGGCGCCACTCATAAGCAGGTGGTGGATCTGATTAAATCAGGCGGCGATGTCCTCACCCTGACCGTCATTTCCGTGACGCCGCAGGAAGCGGAAAGATTGGAGCCTTGCGAAGATCTGAGGTAAGAACAATACTTGAACAGTTCCGGCTTAAACGCTATTTCGGTGCGCGACGAGAAATCTTGCTACTTAGAACAGCTTGATATCTTTCTCGACGATCTTATTATCGTAGCGATTATCTCACCGATATCACATTTGAAATAATAGCAATCTTGATGATTCTAATAATTAATAATTTCACAATTTATCTAGATTGATCGATTAAAACACACATGTATATATGTATGTGCTTTTAATCAATATATATTAATAGATATATATGTACAGGGTGTCCCAAAACTGACAACAAATATTTAAAGACACATTCTTTGTAATGTGTATTTTAAAATGAAAAGTTTAATATAAAAATGCCTGAAGATGTTAAATTTTATTATTGTCAAAGGCAAGAAGTTCAAGGAAGCACTTTTACATTGATTATCTTGCCATTCCTGAATGCGCGAAATTCTAACTCTGTCATTCGTAGTTTTTAAACTTTTCAAAACTGTTATAGCCTTGGCATTTTCGTATTATAGACTTTTTGTCTTAAAAAATATTAAAAAGGGTCTATCTTTAAAATATTTAGCGTTTTAGGACATCTTGTATATACACGAGCAGATACGCGCATACACGTAGTACAAGTATTAAATGTATTACATTTTTGTTTAGTTACGCATCGGTAGATTACAGCGAGAAGCGATCTCTGCCCATCAGCGTGCCGGATTATCACGTCCGCGAGAGGAAGCACGAGCGTTATGTAGTCTTCAATGTCCACATGGCTGGCAGGCACTTGTGCTCGCGTCGATATCGGGAATTCGCGGCGTTGCATATGGCACTGAAGAAGGAGTTCATAGGGTTCAACTTCCCGAAACTACCGGGAAAATGGCCATTCCAGTAATATCCTCATGCTTAATTTTACACATCGACGTAAATCGCATCAAGTACAGCCGCGAAATGAATGAATTCATTTAATATCATAGCGCATTTTATTATATAATCACACGATTATCGCACATTCTGCATACTTTTCTCTTGAAAAACAAGATACATTTTTTATTCATATTATGAAGGTTTGTTTTTATAGCTGAATTAAGATCTTTTTTTTTTTAGACTAATGACATCAAAAGCGAGAAGACACATATTTAATAAATGAAAATTCTTGCAAAATATATTAAAATAGAATTACTTTTCAATGAAACAATATTTGCATTTGACTGAGAGTACACTTTTAAAATATACCGAAAATTCTTTTTTTATTTCGGAATAGAATAAAATTATTTATCGCAATTTGATAACTGTCATGTACCTTATTTTGTTTTTTGATTATGTATAATTCCATTTTAAATATATGATTGTTTATTGATTAAGGAAATATAAGAGAAGTTTTCGGTATATTTTACAAATCTGTTCTATTGAATTGCAAATATTTTATTTTGAAATATTTACATTTTAATATAATTTGCAAGAGTTTTCTGCTTCTGATATCACAATCCAAGATGACTGCGGTGGGCAAACATTAGGACCGACAGAAAAGTCTTAGTGAAATAAATATATATCTATGTTTGAAATTTAATAAAAGCGAGGAGGAAAGTTCTAGTGTAATCTAGCAATAGAAAACAATCTTTAAGAATTCCTTCACTCTCATTACAGATTGAGTGAGCAACAGCTTGATGCAAGAAGACGCGGTCTGGAACAGTATTTGGAGAAGGTCTGCGCAGTACGCGTGATAGCGGAAAGCGATGCCATGCAAGAATTTTTGACGGATCGACTGGAGGAGGATGGCGATCAAGGTCCAGCGGTTGATCTCAAAGTTTTGCTACCTGATCGCGAAGTCGTCACCGTGACTGTTCCCAAGGCGGCGTCTGTGAAAGATGTCTACGACGCAGTTTGCTGCCGAGTAGGCTTGGACACAGAAACCGCGAAATATTTTTACCTATTTGAGATTGTCGAATACAATTTCGGTATGCGCCAAAATCATTTGTCATCTCATAAATTCTGAGTAAATTTACCGGACTTGCCCGCAACTTAATCAACTTAATAACCATTGTGTTGTAGAGAGAAAGCTGCAACCTCACGAACACCCGCATACTTTGTACATTCAAAATTATTCGACTGCCAGCGCAACGTGTTTGGCGATAAGGAGGTGGCTTTTCACTGTAAATAGGCCTCTGAGCGAACAGGCATTGACTTGGATATTTTGGCAGACGATCGATGAAGTGAACAGGGGTCATATAACTGCTGGAGAAAGACTGTATCAATTGAAAGCTCTACAGGATGCATCGAGAAAGCACGAGGTTTGTACTGAATGAAGGAAATCGCTTACAAATCTTAGATTAATAATACCATTGCATTTACGTGAAATCTTTGTGTTTGCGTAGTACCTAAAATTAGCGAGAGAACTCAGTGGATATGGCGACATTGTGTTTCCACATTGCGCGTGCGACTCAAGGAAAGAGGGCCACGTGGTACCAGCAGTAGGCATGGCGGTCTTCAAGTTGCATGCCGCGAAGGAAGATGGTACCCTGGAGTCACAGGTGGTCGAATTTCAATGGAGCACCATCACTCGGTGGGAAGTGGACGAGGATGGAATGGCATTCTGCTTCCAATACACGCGCCAGGACAATCGTCCACCCCGTTGGCTCAAGGTCTTCACTCCTTATGTAAGTACTTGATAATCTTTTCACGAATCAATTCGCAACTGCGAGCATAGTTATGACAAATATAAACTGCGCATTCCCTAATCTTGCTTTCTGAATTAGTTAAAAAGAATTAAACATATTGACATCTATTTTCAATTCTATTAGCATTTCTTTTCAATTCGATATCTTAAAGAGAAAAAGATAGATAGGATAGTTCATTTATTGATGTCCCAGGGCAAATTCTAAGAACAAACTTACAATTATAAAAGCAAAATGAAAATCGCATCAAAAAATACAAAAATAAGCAAATAATTAAAAGAAAGTAATATATTGTACAAGAAAAAGAAATAAATTAAATATACAAAAGAGAAGAAATACAAAATAAAAAATAAGTATATATAAAATAGAGAGAGAGAGAGAGAGAGAGAGAGAGAGAGAGAGAGAGAGAAAGAACGAGTGAGAGAAATATTCTTCAATTCCCTCACTTTTTCTAAACCGATAGTGACAACTTTTATAGGAATGCGCAGTCTATTCTTATTACATCTGTGACACGTGTAATTTCACGCAAACTCGCCACTCGATTTATTACCCTGATTGTACTTGCAGTATACGTTCCTCTCGGATTGCTTCGATCGAATAGCCGAAGAAGCGAAATGGGATGACCCAGGGGAATGACGTAACGTACGACGCTAAGAGGTATTCAATGTATAACTTTTGAGGATATATCCTTTTACAGGATATTTCGCACTCTCCGTAGTCGAAATTTTTTCTTATTAGAATTAGGACAGTCTTTAGAAACGGTTAACATAGGTCCTTTAGCATATCAAAGTTTTTCATCCGTTAGCTTTGCCGAACGTTTCCAATGCTGTATACCAAGAGAGTCCACGGTCATCATTGGAAAAATAAAACGTGTTTGTGCGGAATATAGATACATATACATCTCAGTGAAACAGTGCTGTTATCAGAGAAAAAATTCGATGGATTACTGCTCGCAAGCAATCTGAAACGAAAACGAAATGTAATGTATAAATTTAAAATTAGATTTATCATTGATGCCACGCTTGTCCATGATCTAGTGAAGGAATCTTGATATAGACCGGTATTTATAGTCCATTCTTATTTCAAGATCGTCTTAAGTAATATCTTAAGATGCTAATACGGTCCTCTTATTAGTTCGTGACATCTTAAGACTGTGCTTAAGACAGTAATTATTAATTAAACTTAAATATAAGAATGGTCTATCAATATGTAGCTTGAATTCAGTATGCAAGAAAATAAATCTTGTTTTATGCATCGATATAGCTGAGACTTTTGTTTTGTCGATGAAACACGTGCCGTTTTCTTCTTTGTTACGATGAACAAAATCGCGCACGCGATAACATATAAGAGAATTACATTAGTGTATAGATACATAGACTATTACTACGGGGATACGATCATATCCGCCTAGAGAAACTACCTATCCTTTTGGCCTATGAATTATTATGTATACGGCACGCAACTCGTTTTCTAACGAGAAAATCGATCGTCTTATGTAAAATGTTCCTCCTTCTTTGCCTAACAGACCCGAAACTCTCTTTCAATGGATCTGCGTATTGATCATGCGTTTAAAGAACAGAAATAATACCCTGTGCATTTTCTAATGTACAATATTTTATAAATAATCTGTCAATTTGTTATGCAGGATATTTTAAAACGGGAGGCGCCGCTTTCGCACGTTTATGAAAAATCTCAATAGTATCGACAGCGCGTCCATTTTATCGCTGTGATAGGTTTCATTCTTTGCAATTAAGAGTTTGTATAATGAGAAGCACTAGAAATCTGAAAAAGAAGAAATAGATACATATCATATTCACGGCTTTATTTTAAGCAGAACCGAATTCTTGTTTCTTTTCTTCTTTTTAAACTATCCTGTATAACAAACGAATTCCTAATGCACGTGTGGCTACAGCAGGTACCATATGTCCCGTAATCGATATATAATGTTATCGATCAGTCCTCTACACATTTTGTTAATTCATTAGTATGTATAGCGTACTAGCGTTGATAAAAAATAGAACAAACTGTACATATTAATGTTAAAAATATATACTTTTTGAGAAGAAACTTAGTTGTGTACGTGTGTATGCGTGTATGCGTTTTGATAAGATCGATAATTACTTGATCGCAAGATTAATTATAACTGGATGTGACATTGTGCTGAAAACGAAATGACGATCTGATTATAATGCGAAATTGTTACGTGAATTGCAAGTGAATCGAAGGATTGTAATAACAATCGAGAACTATTTTTAAATCGATGTTCTCGATTCAGAAACTTTATCCCGGGCTACTTCCCTTTAATGAATTTATAAAGATACTGTACAATAGAAAATGCAGCATTAATGCTCATCTCCGATTATATAATATAAGCATGTACGGAATTTAGTAAAAAAAGAAAGAGAAACGTAAAAACTTGGAACAATAATGCAATAAGATCGCGTGTTTTCCTCTACTATCTTATACGAAGAAAGAATAACAATACTCATTAATAATGTTAAAAGAGATATTGATAATAATAATGAGATATTAATTATAATAACAGCAAGTAAGAAAAAACATAAAAATAATGTTAGCACTACTCTACGTGTTACGGGATTTTGCAAAAGGCCGTAATACGCGTTTTGGCATAGATATCCACTTATAGAAAGCGAATATTTGGAGCGAGTTCTCACTTGCATATTATGTGCCCATGATCAGTCGTTTTTTCTCTTCTTTTGTTCTTCTTTTCCGTTCCTACGTATACATCCTGCCTTCTCGCAGTGCTTAAATCCACTCGTTCTAAACATGTCGCTTACTTAACTGCGAGCAGTTTTAGCAGATAATAAATAGAAAGATAAATATATTATTACCGTTAATGTTTTTAAACTTTATTCATGGAGTATCGAGCGCATGCGATGAACGGGAAATGTATGTGGCAATGTAAAATCCAAATGATGAGAGGAAAAAAAATATATATATATGCTTGCGACAGAGCATAGTTATAATACTGTTAATGATAATAGAAATATAGAACATAATATAGAGTAATTATATAATCGAACGCGCGAGTATCCGAGTGAACACACATACGAATCGATCAACATATGATGTGATATATTCGCGTGTGCACCTAGCTATTTGGTCGAGTGAACAAGACGATAATGGTTTCTATTGTTTTATCGATAGAGAGAGAGAGAGAGAGAGAGAGAGAGAGAGAGAGAGAGAGAGAGAGAGGAGATAAAGGTTTTTCGAAGGAACTGTGCAAAATCTGTGAATTAGCAATACGTACGTCCGAAAATGTTATTATTGATGATAAATAAATGAATGAACCTTGAATGAACCTTCGGGTAATCATCTAACGTTTATATAATTTAGCATCCGCAAACGAAAGAATTAGTTAGTTATGCAATTCTGTTGAATAATGTGTCTAATAATACTTTTGCACGATGTTTCTGATCTTTTTGATCAAACGATGTCGCTGAAATACGAGAAACTCGAAGGTCTCATTGGTTATCATATTACCGGCAGCAAAAAGATTCTCTCGAAATACACATCGAGACCTTTCGTATTTCATTGATCGGTGAAGTAATCGGACGAATAATTTTCGGATCGGAAGAGAAATTCTGTGGTATCTTGGAGCAGCCACGTGTTTGAAGGATGGCAATAATATTTATAAAAAGAACTGCGTGTGTGTTAATTGGTAGAGTTAATTGGTAGCGAGTATTTTTCGAGAAAATTGGAGTGATCGCAGAGAATACGTCCAAGTTGAATTTGTGACTTCTGATGCGAAAGATCTGAAAATAGTCGGATTAATGATATTTTGTACAGTTTTGTACAATTATCTTTATCTTGCAGTATTTTTATTACGATTGGGTCATTGCCTTATTGCAGCTTTAGTGATGTAAGTTGAACGAAAATTGTCTTTCATTTCAAGAAACTGTTCGATAAAAAAATTTCGCCTACTTTGTTTTCGCTTTTGTGAAATGTCTCTCACTAGGAAATTGACTAATTTGTTAAATAATTTATTATCTCGTTAATTAGCGTGTTAACGAGCCTGTCAAACACAGAATGGCGAATTAGGTAATATAATTTAATTATTGTTACAAGACCATATCATTACGGTTAACTCTTTAGATGTTAATTAAAATATTCTGTATAATCATAGTACGTAATAACAAATGCTCCAATTTACCGTATAACATCAGTTCGCAAAACATTTGCTGTAAAACTAGTATTTCGAATTAGCGAAAGAGATATTATTCGATTTCTTTATGAGCCATCTTATTGAGAAGCATATAATAAAAACAGAAGAAATAGAACTATTATTTCAGCCTTTTTTAATGACGTCTCTTACCTACTATTATAATACACGTATCATAGATAAAATAACGTGATAGTAGAACAATCTGTGTGATACAATTGTTATTATGTAACGAATAATTTCAAGTATATCTGACGTAAAGCACACTCGCATAAGCAAATAATAGAGGACATCAAGATGGAATATTTCGTTGTTGCTTTCTCAACGCCTATAAAAAAGAAGAATCGTCCAGGTAGAATCTTGAAAATGTTCATCGCAAAGTAGAGAGTTCTCAATAAAATCACCGTCGCCTTTTCTTCATTTTATCCACGTTCCCAAAAATATATAATAAAACAGAAGAAATAGGACTTTTATTTATGTCTCTTTTCGTTATGTATCCTACTATTACTATAATTACGCATATCATGTGAAAATAAAATAACGCGTACAATTCCCAGACATAAAATCAAACAATTTTAATTCGCGGGCAAATTGACAATAGAGCTTCCATAAGAGCATCACAAATACCACAGCAGGAATTAAAATTCGTATTTGAAATATTCCAACGGAATGCAGCCATGTAGCCCAGCAAAGGTGGATAACGCATGACGTCCCTCATTATAATTACTGCAATACTATCTCGGATTAAAGTCCCCGGTCATAAACTATGTAAGCACAAACAAACTCGAAGCTGGTCGTGTGTTCGCAAGATTATCATGTTCGTGCGCTAGCGTACAAAATAGTCTACACATTCTACGTAATGTACCTTTGTAACTGATGTATGCAGGCTCTCGCGTATACACACGACCTCGTATACGCGATACTGTTACATGCAAGACGGTCTCAGAAGATATCGCTAAGTGGCCGCCGATATACGGAACGACAGATCAGTTTAAGTCCACCTGCCCTGCAAGGTGGAACTCCTTCGTAGAGAAATCGTTTATCGGTGATCGCGGATTTAATCTAATCGCCAGCTTGACACTGAGACTAGCTGAAAAGATTGTTATAGCCTGAAAAAAATGGATCATATTAAAAGAAAGAGGAAGAAGACAGGTGGTGAAAAGGTAGTTGTTTAAGTCGAATTTTATGTGCGAATATGAAATTCCTTAAAAAATTTAATTGATATTTTAAACATTAAAATCCAAATTATATCTTTAATTTTTTTTTACATATTAAAATGTAGAAGATTAAATCTATTTTAAAATATTAAAAACTTAAAATATTAAAGTTACTTTTTTACTTTTTAATTTTATAATACAGAAAATTTAAAAACATCTTTAGTTTTTTTCTACACTGTTATAATAATTCATATAATATTCTGCATAATTAATGACAACTTTTCTTGTATTTCAAAAAGTTTACATTTTATCATAATTTTTATAATTCTTCCGCGGTAAATCTTCTTTATATCTCTATATAGTTAACGATTTGAATTTAATCACAAAAACGTATAAAATTTATAAAATTATAATAAGTTAAAGATAAATATTATATTTATTCGTAGGCTATTATCTTAACAAACACAGAATGCTAACAAAAGATTAAAATCTTTTTTGATTCGAAAAAATCAACCTTATCGATGACATTTATCAAGATAACAGCTGAAAAAAATTGACAGGCACAATATTAAATTATATTGATATGTTCTAGCTAATATTAAGTTGCCATTAAATCCAATTATATAAAGCAATATAATAACATGGCCGATATAATAATATAATATAATATAATTCTCAATGAATAGATTGTTTTATATAATTATATAACTGTCATAATCCGCGAGTTTTATTTGATTATTTGACATTCATCTTATTACAATTTTTATACTCATTCTGCTATTAAAAAAAATAATTATAATAATAAAAAACTTTATACAATAATAAATTACTTTATTTTCAATATTCCGTTTAATGTCAACTCTCAAATTCTTTTTTTATTTAAAAATGTTTTTTTATGTTTATCTTTAAATTCTAAACATGTATCACTTTTTTTATCATAAAGAGAGATATAACAAAAACTGACTTGACAAATGATTTATCAATACACTTAATAACTTCGTCGTCTGCAAAATGCTGTATTATTTGCTTACATACTGACCTGAATTCTTTAGAAATCAATTGTAAGTCTTCGGACACAATTCCAATATTTTACTGAAATCATCCACGCATCAGTTCATCAACGTTTTAATATGCTGTAGTAATGAGAACAAGTATCTGATTAAGAATTCTGATAATTGAAGAAAATGAAATACATGTCATAAAATGCATTATTCTCTCATTTGTATTAAGATAATATTAATTTTAAATGCTTTGAAAAAAATAGTTTTACGCACGGAACTCGAAGCAAATTATAACAATTAGATACATGAATTCGCATCAAAGGAAATTGACGCTGCAGAGACTTTTCTGTTCCGTAACGCTCTGATGGATAATATTTCATGCCTTAACCAGCTCTTCTTATTAGTCATGACATAACAATCACTTGTTATAGATTTATGCGTCATTACGTAATGAAGTTAGCAGAAACAAATCAGATTGTCAAACCGTTCCACGTGATTCATCTGTCTAGTCTATTCGGCAAATCGGTAAATGCCGATGACTAAAAGCGTTAAATTTGTTTGAGGAGTTACAATTATGTTTCAGGCAAATGATTCACGTTCAATAGCAAAAAACTAATGTGCTATTACAGTTATTACGCTCTAGGATGAGCACGTGCCATCATTGACTTAAACTTATGGACGCTAAAAATGATCCATCTATTCGATCGAATGAATCGGTTGGAAGTTATCATCAATGAGGAATAATACATCATGTTTTACTCGGGAAAATTATCTTTGTAGGCAAAAGATTTCGCAATAATTAAATAGAAAATTGGATCCCGCTGAAATGAATTAGTTTTCACACATAATGTAGATTCATATTGTGATGAACAAAAGATGTCATAGAAACTCAATAATGAATAGTTTCTGAATAATCAAAGGTATTCTGTGAGTTCAAATTTTAATACATA